GAGCAGCTGATCAGCTGACCTGAGAGAGCGGGTGGGTGTATAAGGCTGTAGCAGCTCAGAGAGATAAGATGGGGCGAGGCCATGGAGAGCTTTAAAAGTAAATAAAAGAATTTTAAAATGAATCCTAAAAGAAATGGGCAGCCAGTGAAGTGAAGCTAAAACAGGGGAAATGTGCGCAAACTTTCGAGTGCCAGTTAAAAGACGAGCTGCGGCATTTTGCATTTTATAGATGACTAATGTATGATGCGCTGACCCCAATATAAAGTGCATTACAGTAATCCAGCCGAGTGCTAACAAAGGCGTGGATCACTGTCTCAAAGCGCTGCCGTGAAATAATTGGCTTTATTTTTGCCAGCTGCCTGAGGTGAAAGAAGCTAGATTTTACCACTGCCTTAATTTGATTATTAAACGTCAGATCACAGTCCACTTTGACCCCCAGGTTTGTGACAGTTGGCTTAACATACTGGGTCAGGGAATCTACATACACATTGGGGGTCTCGGTGGGGCTACCAAAAACCATCACCTCTGTCTTTTTATCATTGAATTTTAAAAAGTTAATAGACATCCAAGCCTTAATGTCATCGAGACACTGAAGTAATGGCTGTGTAAGGTATCTGCCTTTTTTCTTTAGAGGGACATAGATCTGACAGTCATCAGCACAAAAGTGGAAACCAATGCCGTGCTTTCTCAGTACAGAACCAAGCAGATATAAAGAGAAGAGGAGGGGGCCTAGAACTGAGCCCTGTGGGACACCACACAAGAGGGGAGCGGAGGACGACACATAGTCACCGAGACTGACACAAAAAGTTCGCCCCGTCAAGTAGGACCTGAACCACTCCAGTGCTGTGCCCCTAATGCCCACCAGTGCTCCAAATGAGAGAATAAAATGGCATAATCCACGGTATCAAACGCAGCTGTCAAATCTAAAAGCTGTCCCCAGCGTCAGTAGCTAAAAATATGTCATTAAAAACTTTTAAAAGGGCTGATTCAGTGCTATGAAAAAGTTTAAAACCAGATTGGAAAACCTCTAACACATTTTGCTTTTCCAGGAAGGCCATTATTTGGCTGTAAACTACCTTTTCAAGAATTTTGGAAAGAAAAGGTAGTTTGGAGATGGGCCTGTAATTTGCAAGAACCGTAGGATCAAGAGCAGGTTTTTTGATCAGGGGTTTGACTACTGCATGTTTAAAATCTTTAGTTAGAGCAAGATCAGGTGAACTTGAGCCATCCATAAGTTATGCTGCTATAGGCTCATGACGCTGGAAGACTTCCCATGATACACTGCACATTTCTTCTTCACTCCATATGGAGTTGGTTTATATGCTGCTATTATATTATCTAATTATTATGAATAATGTCATAAACGTTTTTTCTTCCCTCTGCTGTGGCGTGAGTTTTGTCCTGTTTGCTGTTTGTGGTCTCTGTGTGTTGTACCTTTGTTTTCCCCTCATTCCCATTCAGGACTTCTTCCTCCCTGATGTTCTTTGCTTATAAGGAATTGCTGGTTTTCCTTTCTCTAATACTGCATGCACTTGATCTCACAAAGAACCTAGAAGATGCAGATTGTTTTTCTTTATAGTCTCTGAAATAACTTGTCATTAAAGATAAGACTTATAGAATCAAGATCTTCTGTGCAGCCGTTAGCAACATCTTCTCACAGCAAGAAGGCTGAACCTTCCCAAGGCCGTTCTGTGTGGAGTCTGCATGATCTCGCTGTGCTCAGCGACATGCACGTTAGAATAACTGGTGAGTCTAAAGCAGCCGTGGCTATCAATATAATCATGTAATCTTTTTACTGATTTTATTTATTTTTAACACTTATTTTTACAGACACTTTGTGTTTTGCATAATGTAACTGAAAATGCATTCTGCTTCGGTTTATCAGACTTTACATTTTCCGTTGTTTTGCCGTTGGTGTTAACATCCATCAGATCTCCAGTGAACCGCAGAGGGTTGGGGTTAAGTTGCATTTTAGCCAGAAGCCAAAAGAGACTATTTTCAAAAAGTAGACGATGCTGCCTGTTATTCCTCCATAGTTCTTCTCTTGTAATATTTCTATTTGGTCGTGCAGATGGAATTACTATACAAATGGGTTGATGTGAACCTAACCCTAACCAGAACCTGGTGGGCATTAAGAGGAAGATTTCTGGCTTTCCGTACAATTTCTTGCTTTTGTGTCTCTGTCAGAACAACTCAAATTAATTATAAGAAGTGAGATTTAAACACAAAGCCCACAACCTCATGTTTAGATGTCACTCTGGAATGTAAACAACTGACGTCAGTACAGCAGGCAGTATTCAAACACCACCAAACGAACAATACCAGCAGTTCATTAGTCTGTCAATATTTAACATGTAGCACAAACCTCCCTCTTTACAGCTCAGTACTGTCTGGAAACAGCTGGGCACAGCTGTAGCTTCCAGCAAACAATACTCAAGCAGTGTATTTGTTGCTGAATATTTTCATCTGTGGATTAATACACGCTTGCTGCATTACCAAGCTGCATGACGGAAATGTGAGACTGCCTCCAATAAAAACACTACCTTTAACACCGATATTAGTAAATCTCTTAGTTTTTAATGTGACTTGTTAATATATACTACGGTGAAAGCACCACATTACTGCTACAGCAACAAGACAAAGCAAAGACCCTCCAGCGATGGCTTCAGACCTGACTGCATGTGATGCATCCAGCCACTGCTTTGTCTTATTAAAACTGCCTCATGGAAATATTCAATCGCCTCCTTGCAGTTTATGTAATGTGCTGTGCGGTGTAGTAGTAGGAGAGACAGTTATTGACTTTTTTGGGTGCCACATTTAATGTTTCTCTTGCTTTAAAAACTTTTCAAGGAGGCAGGTATTTCTGTAACTAGGGCAACAAAGAATAGCACTGAAAATCATTCATACTGAGTCAGAGGTAAAACCTGTGCTTAATAGAGAAGTCCCTCAGGCAAAGGCCAAGTAAAACCAGATCAACCAGTCGCAGAGTAAAGGTTATGTAATGAAAACTGAAAAACAATAGCATACAGAATGTGCTTACTCATAATGGAAACCGATGTCATGATTTCCAACCAGTACAACCAGTTCCGTGTCAGTGGAGTGTCTGAACATCCTGTGGAAGCGACGCACGTCGTCCTCCCAGTGCTGCGGAGAGAACGACACGAACACAGCTGAAGTTTCAGGCCTCAAACAAGAAAAACTCCCCGAAGAAGCTCACAAGCGTTAATGGGATCTCTGAGGGTCGCCCAGCAGCCCTCACGGGCGGCTGAGATGAGTTGCTTTCATTCAGATTCAGTTTTGCTTCTGCGGGACTGAAACTGCACACAGAAACAGCCTTTAATTGCATCAGTGCTGTGGGTTTCATACGTTGTGTCTCTTATTTATAGAATTTATAGGATGTGGGAATTTGGAGCAGTTTTCATCTCTGATTTGGCCAAATTTTCAAACTAAATGTAACTATTTATTAATCAGTTAGGTGATTTAGGGGATTAATGAGTGTGTGGGAAAGTATTTGGATTAAAAAAGCAGAAGATTTGATTCTTTTTAGTAATTTTTAGTTAAACAATATTTGGTTGTCTGACTGTCGGATAAACAAAGCCGGCAGTTTTTCCGAACATTTACAGAAGAAAGAGTGAAGGAAGATGCCTCAAACAAATCGTAAATCAAGCACATAACACCAAATATCATCGTTTTCAAGTTCTTCTATTTCACGATAAGCTGGTTTTCTTCATTTTTTAACACCATATGTTCAATATCTTTTGGTTTTTGGTCAATTTCTGAGGCTTGAGACAAAATAAACACTTGGTAGATTTGCAGAATGAGCAAATAGGAGACTATTTCACTAACAGAGTGAGCTTTAAAGTCAGTTGTAAGGCGAATACGACACCCTCGCCTTGGTTTTCATTCAAAACAGTGAGACTGTCGACAGAAAAGAAACCAAACATATTTGAGCGCAGCTTCACATTTTTAGACGTTCTCGCTCTGCAAATTTAAGACTGGTGAATGATACTTGAGAACACGCTTCTTTTTGCTTACACTGAATAGCTTTTCTTTGTGGGACAATTTTTGAGGCTACAACCAAAACGATGAAGTATTTGATCAGTTAGGTTGCTCGCAGAATGAATGGTTATGGAACTGTTGGTCATTCATCAAGCAAACATCCAACACGGCTCCTGAATTTGGGGTCTGAAATGTGCCAATTTGTTTCTATATTACTCTTTATACTGATTTAATTTAAATAAGTAGGGTTTTGGACTGTTAGCAGAGCAAAATGGGGACAATTTTGCACCATTTATTACTCTTAGCATATTTTATTCTGTGTGCAAGCTCTAAATCCTTCAAGTGGAAGCCAGTCACGTCGTGAATCAACCACAAATGCTAAAATCATCATGCTTTTCTTTCTTTCATACCACTGTACGTTGAACACCTTTGCCCTTGTGGCCAGTTCTCTAACCACAATAACTAATTTCAAGATGTCCTCTTAAGCTGCAGGAGGAACTCCTCAGACACAAATGAGGCAAATGATTAGCCAGCTAAAGAAATAAATGACAGACTGATCTATTCACCTGCTGCAGATCAAGTCTCAGTACTCTCAGCGTGAATTCAAACACGCAGGCCCTTCCTGTTTTAACACAATACAAATTAAAAGAGTTGCCATTCAAAGAGTGAAAATGAGGAGGAATCAGCGAGTGGGTGGGTGGAGGGAAAAGTAGATTAGAGGAGATTTTACTGTCTGAGGCTTTGTGTTGTGTTCCTCTCGCTCCACTTGCTTCTATCTGTCTTGACAGATCCCATTTTATAACCCAGTAATAGATTTCTGAGCATTCCCAGAAGCTCCCCCCCAACACACCAGGATGGATGTACCATGGCGGGCTAAGAGGATAACTGGTGCAGCTGTTTTCCTCAAAAACCTGCAGCCTCTGGGGCCCGGATGGTAATAAGATTAGGATTATTATGACCAGAGAACACAGAGCTTCTGCTCTGCATCCACATACTCGAACATCATCATAATTATCATAATGGGGGGGGTGCAGAGCAATGCAAGAAGAAAAACAGGGAGCTCTACATTACCTTCTGCGAGCTCCACTTGCCTTCGTCGAAGATGTCCCCGAGAATAAAGACTATCTCGGGCCTGAGCAGCCACAGAGCGGTCTGGAAAGCCCTCTCCATCTGCCATTCCCTGCGCGTTTGGACACAAGTCAGCGTTATTGGATGTTGTTGTTTACAAATCACTCCTGCAGAGCCCCGGGCACAGACGGAAGGATGGAGGGCAAATATATATGAGAATACATGCAAATGAATTATTACCTCCTCAGCTTGTCAAACCAGTGTCCTCCGACGGCTCCGAGGAGGTGCGTGTCCGACAGCACCATAGCGCGGACCGCAGAGTCCACCGAGTGGCCGTCGATGCCCTCTCCGCCGCGAGCATGGCTGATCTTCGGCCAGGCGCACTTGAGGATGGTCGGAAAGTAGATGAGATACTCGCAGAAGAAGAAGGCGCCGCCGACCACCCCAATCAGCACCACCGCAACCACCCATTTGACGCTAAACCTCGGCATTTCTTTGTTATTCGGCGTTCGGGATGCCCTGAACTGGCGCACTGGCGGTGATGGAGCGGTCCATGAGGCATCTTCACCTCTTCCAGACCCCACGGTTTAGGTCTCCAGCCGCGTGATGCTCATGGCAAGCTCATCTGGATAAAAACAGGCTTCGCGTGGAGTCCGGTTGATTCCGAAAATAAGAGAAAGAAAAACAAAGTTTTAAAATGCGCCTTGATTTCAAGGGGAAAGCAGTGAGAGAGAGAGAGCAGCCGCCAACCGCTGTTTCTCAGTCGTAGGCTCTCATGCGTTAAGCTGGAAACAACACATCCGGTGTGCGTTTTCAAAATAAAACGGGTGACACGATATCTAGGGGACACAAAAACTCCATGCTTTCTGTAGTACAGTATATAGTATATATTTAGGCTTTCTTAAGGTTCAGAAAGTTTCTAAAACTTAAATTATTTTGGAACTAATTTAAATACCTCTGGATTCAGGCTCCACACTGGGTCAAGCCTTTATATATATGCCTGTAGTCCAAAGACTGTAGGCTAATTGGTGATAATAAACTGACCATAGGAGTACCATACTCTTGTAAAACATTAATGATAAACCAACTTTAACTTGTCTTTCAGCTAATGAATTTATCAGAGTATTATTTCATAAACCACCAGCTTGCCCTGTGCCATTGAAAACAAAAAGAAAGATGTCACATATGATCATAGAGTACCAGAGGTGGCAAAATAACATCAAGCTTGTAAAAACGTTCTTTACTTAAGTAAAGAAAACCAGTGTTAAAAAAAATACTCCACTAAAAGTTGAATTACTGAAGCAATTTCTTTACTCAAGTATAAATGAAAAAGTACAGACTCTTAAATGTACTCAATAAGAAAATAAAAAGTATCTCCATTAAGGACAATATTCATGCAAAGGTAACTAAACATTGATATTAATAACATAATATAATAGTACTGTATTAATAAAATAATAAAGCAATTTTAGTACACGAGAATACAAATGTTACTCCAATTTAAAGTCTAATTCTCACTTCGAATCTATTATGTAAGCCATAAGGAGTGAAAGAGAATTTTACAAACAGGAGGTGACTTTGCTTCTAAGCTTAAACAGAAAAATAAGGACTGTCAAGGGTTAAACTGAGATTCGACAGTTTTTTGTTTTGTTTTTTGGTTTTTTTTGGGCGGGGGGATTTACAAAATCCACAAAAAACAATGGGCTGGGAGGTCAGTTCCTGTATTATGATGAAGGAACCATTGTTCCTTCAGTTGTGGTGGTTTCAGTCATTATGCAAATGTACTGTTTATAAGATTGAGGAAACCTGCAGTCAGCTGAGACAGAAGAAGTCACTTGGATGAGTGATGAAACGTTACTCCCACTGAAAACGCTACGTCCAGATGAACAGAATCAACTTTTGGAGAATAGAAGTACGGATATTAACATTTCAACCACACACAGCATCCACAAAGGTAAATGCATTATTAATAACACAAGTTAGCATTCATGCATTAATAATAATGAAGTAGGTCAACATTTTTGATCATTTTCAGCCCTGCCATCCTTTGGTGACCTGTCCAAGGTGTGCCTGCCTTCAGTTCCTCCTCTCCTGTGGGGTCAACTAGTTTGGTTTCAGTAGAGACATCATTTGTAGTCATCTACTTTTACGATTGGGATTGAAACTTTAAATCTGATAGTCAGGAATTCTTTCCTTTTTTTTGTAGCTCCAGTCATGTTTTAGTTTTTTGTTTTTTAACTTGTCACTGCTTATTAGTTGTGTAAGAAAAATATCAAAATTTCACATGAAACCACCCAAAATTACAGGACATCAATGATTTTTATCAATATGTGAGGCTTAACTGAGGTTAACTGATCAAATGCATCAATCAGATTATTAATTAAAAGCGATTTTCTTATATGAAAACACTCTGGATTGAAGACTTTAGTTGGGGGTTTTCCATTTTGTTATAATTTATTATTAACTTCCATGAAAGTATTTTTGGTAAGATAAAGCAACATTTTGCATTTACACCAAGGCAAGCTGCCACAGCCAGCGATGGGAGCTGATACTGAGATGGAGTTAAAGTAGCCAAACTGCATAAAACTAATAAGGCGTTAATGAAAGTCTAGCAGTCAAATTGTTTGGCAAGGATGGCATCAGAGAAATGTATCAAATATCAAAAAATAATTCTACTCCTACGACACTGCAGCCTGCTTCTATTAATATTAACATGCACATTGTAACTATCCAGTGCGGCTGTTCTTTGTGAGTTTGTGCTGATTTTAAAGAAAATTTACACCGCTGGCTTGTCCTTTTATTTTGAAAATACTAGTAATTTCCTACAGTTTTCTTCCTCCTACCAACTGCGATCTTGACTAATGTGTATTCATGAGAGAGAGAGAGAGAGAGAGAGAGAGAGAGAGAGAGAGAGAGAGACATATGAACAAAAAGTAATTTAAAAAACAGAGACCTCCATCTGGAAACAATAAAACTATTGAGTTGATAAATTCTAATCTGATCAGTGATCAGTAAAGCTTGACAAACAGATAAATGGAAAGGAGCCAACTACTATGGGACAAATGAGATTAAGTGATTATGTGCAGAAATCTAATCAGCAGGAGACTGCTTATGTGTGCAGCTCCAGGTCAACCCTGAAACTCGAAGCAGCGAGGAGTTTATTTCACACAGGAAACAGCTCCAACAAAGCTGCTCCAGTTACGCCACCGAACTGCTGTTACCTGCTCAACTAGTTGGTTTGGAGGAGCCCTGTGCCACTGCTCACACATACAATGAAAAGGATTTACACCCTTCACTTCCCCCATCCCGTCTTGACCCTCCAGCATACATTCAGCGCAAGATCTGACTTGTGAGGGAGCAGTGAGGAAGTGGAGCAAAGGCAAACTGAGTAATGATAGTGTGACTCAAAGGAAGTCCTTCTCAGTTTTCAGACTTGTGATTGGTGTGTGATGGTGAATGAGTATTTTTGTCTCTAGACACCAACTGGGTGGGGACTCCAAACTCTGCTTCCCTACAGATGTGCAGCTTCTGGAGAGTGTCTCAAACCGCTCTCAAGTTGCACAGCTTTGTTTAAATTCTGAGGCTGGTAAATCAGTCTTGTGTCTTACTCATCTCAGTCTCAAGGAGAAAGTATTGAATTCACTCTTCTTGCTATTCACACAGCCAGGGCCATACCTACCACTGGCTGGTGTTTCAAATACCATGTGTAGCTGTGAAACAGAGTAAAAAGCCTTATTTTCAGAGTAAGAACAAAATCTGATACATTTCATATCATTTACCCCAATATTTAGTTGATCATAGAGCGAAAACAACAGAAAAGTCATGTGATGCTGAAAGAACAACCTGCCAAACTGTCTTTTCCATCAAGTGAATTTGTCAACAGGCTGGTAAAACGATGATAAAAAGAGAAAGCTAGTATGGGCAAATACCTCAGCAGTTTCAAAATTCATTTCTTTGATGTAAAAACTGCAAAGAATTTAAAGCTTTGCGTCCTCTCCAGCACCTCGGGCACTGCCGCATTAAAAATAGACACGATTATATAGTGGAAATGTCGGCACTGACTCAACACTCTAAAAAAATCCTCCAGTGAATAATTCCTCGCTTCAACCACAATTTTAAAACTCTACCATGAAGATGCAAACTTTTATATATTAAAAAACAACAAGCCAGAGACACCAACACCTGCTCATTTAACTCGGACGTCCACGTCATGATGTGGAAAACTGTCCTTTTTCTCAGAAACAAAAGCTGAAATCCTTTTATGACACATCTGGATGTGAAGCAAAGGGACTGTCCAGCTTTATATGAGCACATAATCCAAAAAGTCAGAATCTGTGAGAATTATAATGGAGTATTAGTTAACACGCTATGGGTATTAATGCTCAATGACATATGCTTCCATCTTAACAGTCTTTTTCTGAGAAAGTGCAATGCCAAATAACCTTATGCACACATTGCAAGAGCTGCCAAACACTCACAACAAATTATACAACTATAATATACTACATTATATGCCATCTTTGTATTATTACAGTTAAAAGTGCACATTCATAAATCCAAAAGGGTGGAGAGTCAAAGTTAATAAATCAGATTTATTAGAAAAATTAACGGTTTAAAGGAAAAAATGATTCACAGAATATTTCTATCTTAATATAAATGAACAGTAGTGTGTGTTTATTGTTGGGATTTTACTATCACTGTATAAATAAACTGCATATTTTTGATGATATTACTGTTTCTTCAGTTGCAATTTTTGAATTTTGTGTGGCCTTGCATTTAAGTGATATGTACAATAATAATCTTAGGAAGTATAATTAAACAATTAACTGGTTATATTTCCAGATTTTTACAGTCTGGTTGCAGCTTTGTGAAAGACGGGGCATTTTTACTTTCACCCTTTTTAAGAAGCAGTTACTGCCAGTTATGCGTGCCACAAATTTAACCTCTTATTTGTGCAAGAAAATAGTGAAGTGGATGCTCAGTACGTGCCGTGATAGTGTTGTAAGGGAACTGATTTCCTCGAGGTTGCGAAACCGCTCAAGAATTCTCTGAAAGTCTTCTGAGGACACGGCCTCAGTGTTCCTGTTGTTTGCATCAAATCTTGACTGGAATGAAAGTGGGAAGATGAAAAATTGGTATTTGGTTTGTCTGAAAGATGAGAAGATCAACTGTGTGGATTTTGTGGTTTATGAGGATTTTGTGGGTTTAGCAACCTTGAATGAGTGTAAATTCTACCTACTAACCTGCAGTTTTGGGCGGACACCGGCCTCTTCACTCAGCTTTAAAGCATCATCTAAAATTTAGGTCAGAATGTTTGTTTCTTGTTAATTGCTTAGAGTTGTTTATCCCTCTGAGAGGGGTGAATAACAAGGTAATACTCGATTCGATTAAATGATAATCATACAGGGCCAGTCATGGGTTTAGGCTTCATTTGAGCACTGTGGGCTTCGTTAAGCAGAACTTCCCTTGTTTTACATGTGAAAGTATAACAAGCTGCTATTCTCTCTGATATCAGGCTGCTGTTGCATATTTTATTTGAGGAAGCAACCTCAATAAATGCAGATGTTCTACCTGTTCACAACAATGATGTGTATTTATAAACCTACTACCTTAAAGGACATTTCAGCATGATTTCAGTTCACATTAAGAGTTTTTTTTTTAATGTTCTCATCGTGTTATGAATTTTAACTTTTAACTAAAAACAAGGAGGACAGGTAACATTATCATGAGATTATTTATCAAAATAGCAACCACACCTAAAAGTCAGAGAAAAACAGAGTCTCACAACTTAATTGGCTGTCAGACTTTTGGAGAAAATGCTTCAAAAATAATTGGACCTCCTCCTTCTTTTTCCCCTTCTGGCTCCTCCATGGTTATCAACCTACCAGCGTCAGCATAACATCAGAGGAGATGCCGTGCTTTGTGTGCGCAATGTGTGTGAGTACGTGTGTCTGTGTGATACGTGGGGAACTAAATTTACCACAAAAAAGAGGGTGTGGGAACATAAACAGGTTCTAGATATATCCTCTCCTGGGAGCCAGGATTATGTTGCCAGTTCACAACATCTCAAAGACAAAGTACCTACAATACAGTATTTGAGAGAGTATCGAAACGATTCCTCTCCCACAAGCAAGCATTTGGTGATAGTGGGGAGGAAGAACTCCCTTACAACAGGAAGAGCTCCCCAGTAGAATCGGGCTTAGGAAGAAAACTAGTTTGGAGATGAGATGAAAAAGAAGCGTTAGAAGAGGAGCACCCGCAATTACCAAACAGAAAAAAAAACTGCGTAAGAAAGAAGACAAAAAGTTAATCATATGTGCTTTACTATGATTACTATGATTCAGGAGGTTCATGCATAGACAGTATAAAAGATGGATGTAGTTTCCAGGTTTGAAACCTGCATTTTTTTTAGCAGGGGGGCAGCATCAGCTGAAAAATGTCCAGTTTTATAGAAATTTATAGGGAAAGGGCTCTCAGCTGCCTCACTCTGTGACCTCAGTAAACACTTCACAGGTAAGTTTACAGCATCAGTCTTTAGTTTGAGGTCACTTAAATAGTAAAAGATGAACTTCACAAAGTTCACTCCTCCCTAGTCTCATCCACTTTCAAAACATCCAGATGCTCAGCTTGAGGCTTCTTAACACGGTCTCACTAAGCAGTGGGTGGCATGAAGGTGCTTGCATCAATCTTTTAAGCTGTCTGTGGATCCAAGAGATATTGTAGAGAAAACAAAACCGTCAAATCTATTCAGCAGAGGTTGAGCTATCCTGACTTATATTCTCTGGACTGCTCACTAGTAACAGATGAAATCAGCAGGTTATTTTTAAAAACTGGACACTTTCCTCCAGACTTCCAGAGAACATTATAAAACTGTGCTAACAGGCTGAGCTTTTACCATCCTTGTTATTGTTAAGCCTGTATACTGGGTGTCAGCCTGGTGCTATATTTATTGGGAAAATAAACAAGTTTAAAAAGTTCAAAACCCCTGAAATCAAAATACTGTGCTTCTAAATACATTTGTGCTTTGGTATCAACACAGAGGCTTTTCATTCCCAGGACAAAAAATTCATTGTTTTCACACCCTAACTAAGTGGCTCTATTAATTAATTTAGCATTTAATTTACATTTCTTTTTGTCTGGCAGTTGCTGAATTTAAAGATGCTGAGTTCAAGCCTCTGCAAAGGACCTAGAAAACATCCTGTTGTTCTTTTTGTAGTAATCCAAGTTGTTAAAAACCCCTAAATCCCCCCAAAACAGAGAATAATAATGGTAATGGCCCCGTTTACTTCACAGACCTGCACTAAAACACACCCTCCATTAGCTTAACAAATGAAGGCAGCAAGGACCATTTCCATGTGAATCACATTCATGTGGAAAATAAAAAGTGGCACAATTGCTCAACAGGATGCAGTTACAGTACTGTGACCAATCAGATTTGATTCATGTTAGTCTGGCTGGTCAGGCTCCAGACACTAATTAGAAGCCATTTATGCAGATGTTAGGTGGTGTATCAGAGGAAAAAATGTAATTGTAAACTAACCTCTCCACAGACCTGCCAATTCAGCTTCACTAAAAGTGAATTTAAATGCGAGTGACTCACCTCGCCTGCTGTTTGAGGGAATAAATAATTTCCTTAGAAATGTATGATAATATTTCTAAAGTGTAAAAAAAAAACCCACCAGCTTTTTGCAGACTGAGATGTTTCAAGCTGACTTCGGGAGAAGGGCATCTGTCTAGGATAAAACTATTCAATTTATTTAATTGAAAAGGTCTGAATGCGGTTAAGCTCAAAGGTCACGATATGCAAACTGTACCACATATCGACTTAAATGTCTACAGTGAAAAGGTTTTACATTAAGCTTTCTCTAAAATGTGAAAAACGAATGAATAAAAGGAACAATAATGAGCTGAGTTAGATTAAAAGACCGATAGCATTGCATGGTAACAAAATCCAACAACCAGTGCACACACACACACACACGCACGCACACGCACACACACACAAATGTAAGTACTCTCCAATATTACAATGCCAGCTCTCAGAAAGGAGACTGTGTAACATGTTAATAAAAACTGAATGCAAATCTCCTAAACCCACATTTTATTCATAGTAGAACATGGAAAACATGTCAAATGTTTAAACACAGTCATTTTACAATTTCATGAAAAATGTCGGATCATTTTGAAACTGATGACAGAATCAATGTTTGGGTCAGGACAGCAAAAGGCTGGAAAAGTAAGTGGTACTAAACAGAAACAGCTGACTGAACATTTTGCAACTAGCAGGTCAGCAGGTCAGTAACATGATCGGGTGTAAAAAGGTTATCTTAGTGAGGCGGAGTTTCTCAGAAGTAAAGATGGGCAGAGGTTCACCAATCTGCAAAAATCTACCGTTGCAGAATAATGTTCCTCAACGTAAACTCGCAAAGACTTTGAATATCTATCATTAACAGTGCATAATATCAACAAATGATTCAGAGAATCTGGAGAAACCATCATGAGAACCACATGTGAACATGTGAATACTGCCATGTTCACTGAATCAAAGCTTTTTTTAAAAAGTGGACTGAGACAAGGTGGAAAACTGTTCTGTGGTCAGATGGATCAACTATTAGCAAGCACATTGTCATCAGTGGGGAGGAAGAGCCTCCTTTCAACAGGAAGTGATCTCCAGCAGAAGCAGGCTCAGTTTAGGGCAGCTTGGTCGCCCTATCAAGAGTGAAAGGAGGGGAGCTCCTTAACGTAACACCAAAAGCTACACATTTAAATCACACACTGATCCTGCTCATGTCATAATGTAGCTCAGTAGTGTGTATAGTCCCCATGATCCTGTATGCTAACATCTGGGCATGCTCCTGATGCAGGTGGATGCTGGTTTGAAGGATCTCCTCCCAAACCTGGATCAGTGAACTTCTGGACAGTCTGTGGTGCTATTTGGTTGCATCAGATGTATAGATACCTAACATCAGGTTCTCAACTGGATTTAGGTCTGGGGAAGGCAAGTCAACGGCATCAGTGCCTTTATCCGAGATCTGCATACTCTGACCACACAGACAGGGTACAGTTCTGCACCAGTGTAACGTCTGGACCTGGAACGCAACAGCACCTGCCTGGAAAGCACTTTGGCTCAACTTCTGTTGTTGTAAAATTTGCTGTACAAATAAAAGTGACTCGACTTGATAATGACTGATGGTACTGCTAGCAAAGACATTTTACAATTTTGTTGAGTTTTCCTATGCTATTATCAGCCCATTTGGGCATTTTAAGAAGTAGACCACAAATTTGGTTCTATAAGAAAGAGTCCATCTTTAACTTTGAACTTTCTTCCAATCCCCTCACAATTTAAATATGTTTGAGGAGGTCC